CTCCCAGGCCACCACTCACTGGCTGGCTCGAGCTTGGGGCCTCCCAAGGGGCAAACAGTTGGCCAAGGGGGAAATGGAAGTTCAAGTTCCTTCTCTGTTTGCATGTTTCAGACAAACTCTCGGAGGAACCTCACATGGTGGACCTCCAGGAGATGCTGCGCTGCTGGTGGCGCTGGATTTCTTTGGGCGAGGAAAGCACCCCGATTCCTCCCTGCTGCCATTCTGCTCCGTTCCTCTGTGGTGACATGCAGGTCACACGCAGGCAGGTGCTCCAAGCAAAGCCTGGGCCCAGATTCCAGAGGTGCTGGCAGTCTCAGCAGCAGGACGAGGAGGGGGGAAGGATTGCTACTCCTGGAGCGGCTGGCGGCCTGACATCTCCCATGCAAGCAGCCAGGGGTGCCATGCTGGCACTCAGACAGTGCAGGGCACACGATGGCCCTCTGGAGTCATGGGTTTCATGGGCAGCCACGCTTTACTTTATTAAAGGGGATGGTGCAAAAGTAAGCCCTGCATCCCATGCTGCAGAGCTGATTAAAATGCAAGTGATTCGAAGGTACTTGCGCTTACCCTGTAGCAGGCGATTCCCACCCCCAGCCAGGTGAGACAGGACGCGGAGTTCTTGCAGGCGAGCAGGTAGGTCTGCTTTGCCTGGCCGTACTGCCAGGAGAAAGAGGTAATCATGTTTCTCTCCACATCAAACGCATCACTCCACAGACACCTCCCTCCCAGGAATTTGCCAGACACCCAATGTCTGGTGGGGCTCAGACACCCACCATCCCTGCTGCTGCTGGGGAGGCAGAGAACCTGCCCACTGCCTCCGACATGGTGGCTCTGTGCTAGCAGGTACTAATTCAGTCACATAGAAATCATTCTCAAAGCTAGGATGATGAGAAATGTTGCAGCTGGGACTTGGAGCTGGCACAAAAGAAGAGGGCATGTCCATGCTCCAAGGAGCTGAGCACTCCAGAAGTTGTGAGATCTTGGCTATAGCTACAGACAGTGGTGTCTTGTGCCCAGGGTCTTGAATCTAATTTGCTTTGTAGCAAATCCCTTTCCACCACTCCTGCTGGCTCCTCACCTCTTTCTCTTCCAGGTAGATGGAGCCCAGGCGCAGGTAGACGAAGTGCATATCTGCAGCGTCTTCCACAAAACTGATGGTTCGCTCATAGCACTCCTTTGCCTCACCAAAGTCTTTCTTCAGGTAGCACAGGTGTCCTTTCTGAGCCCAGACGTTTGGATTCTGCACACAAAAAAGCAGGAGTGAGAGGTGGCTGGGAGAAGTGAGGGAGATCAGGGAGAGGAGTCAAGGACCCCTGTCAGCAGCAGAAAGGAAGAGCTGGCTGGCTTTTTTTAATTATAGCAGTGCAGGTTTTCCTGAGTTAAAAATCAAATGATTGGGCTGGCAACACCAGCAATGGTGAGTCCCCTCCAGTCTTTCCCTGCACAGTGGCCCAGCCCATGCAAGATTCCCCAGGGACGACGAGGACACCAAAAGCATTTGGAGGTGTCAGCTTCCTTCTGCCTTCCATTCAACCTGACTCTCCAAAGCCGCCATCCCTCTCTGCTGAACAGCAACCTTGTTCCTCATGAAACAGAGCCTGACTCGCCAAAGAGAGGGAAAGGGGATCAGGATACACATGTTCAAAGAGAATAGAAAGGCAGACGCTGCAGAGAGAGGAGCTCTCGCTCAAAAATGCTGCCTGTCTGCACAGGTGATGACAGAAGGCAAGTAATAAGTGGGGCAATGAGGAGGGCAGTGCTGCAGCCACAGCCCGATGTGGTTCATTAGCTGTGCTCGTCCTCCCCTCAAGAGATTGCTGCAGACTAGGATTAGAATTGCTGAAGTGGAAATGAAGCGCAGGCTCTAGATTCACACAGCCTGCTGTGGTGCCTGCCAGGAACCTGCAAGCACAGAATTACCATGTAGTCAATCCTCAGGGCCTCGCAGAGACATTCTTCACATTTGGAGAAATCTTCCTTCAGCAAGTAAGTCTGGGCCAGCGCCAGGTAGTATGCACAGGAGGGACCTCCCTGAGGGCTCAGCAGCTCATGGGCAAGCGCCCTGTGAACAAACTGTGGAGAAATGGGAAGGCATCACAGTTAGGAGAACAGGCAAACCACAGGCACCCCCAGAAGGACACGGCAGGAGGACTGACTCACACCTATTTGACTTTTATGAACAGAAAACAGATGGGGGATTTTTCTTTTTCCCCTTCTGAGTATTTAGCCCTGCTTCTTCTGCCTTATGTTTTGCTTTAAGAGCTCTTTCTGCCATGTAAAATTAAGGCTGGCAGCATAACGTGGCAGTCCCAGAGATCCCACAGAGACAACTGTGTGGGACAGGGACATTCCACAGGGACACAAAAATTACCCAGATATAGATAAGTGTCTGGAACAAGAAAGAAGTACTGGCATCTTGGAAGCACCACAGTAACACATCTCATCTCCAAATGTGCACTAGAAGAGCACATCTGCACCATGTCCGCATTGGCAGCAAGCACTGTGGAGCTGAGGCACCCCAGGAACCTTGCCTGCCTGAGGTGACTGTGTCCCCACCCAGCATTTGGGTCAGAATACTCTGCCTGGCCACAGTTTTGCATTTTGGGTGGTGGTGGGTTTTGTTCCCTCTTGCGCTCGGTAGCCAGGTTATCCACAGCTTGTTCTGTGAGCCCATCAGCTCTTTGGGAAAAACCTAGGGAAGGAGACCAAATCTCCTTTTCCCACTTCACTCCATGTTGAGCTGACCTGGAAGGCATTGACTTTCATCAGGAATTCCACTGCCTTCATGAAGATTGTGCAGGGAGGTTGGCTACGTCCTGAACCAGGGGATGGCGCTGCAAGAAAACGTGTCTCCGTCAGTCCGAAAGTGAGATTTTTATTTCTGGAGCAAGACAGGGGCTGAGACTCTGTCCGGGACACAGGAATCCCAGCAACACGGTGTAAAACCTGGGGGGGGCAGGAACGGCAAGGGAGGCTGTAGCAGAGATTAGCTCAGTGTTTCTTTCTGCAGGGCTTAAGTTTTTGTAAGGGATGTGAAATTATGTTCTTCGCCCACTGATCTTCCAGTCCAAACTCAGATGAAGAAAGGTAGGAATTTATGATTGAAGCCCCTGCCTCCCCAAACCAACCCAGCAGAGCCCGAAGCACCCAGAGCTGCCACCTCTTTGCCACCCATTGGAGAGCGGAGCTGCAGACGAGGCAGATCACACACAGGAGACCCACAGGGGCAGTTTAAAAGCTGCCATCTCAGGAGGGAGAGATCCTAGCAGCCGATGGAAGCCACCGGGTGCAGTGACATGTAGGGGAGAGCTGCGTTCACCCGCTGGTTGCCCATCTTGAGATGCTCTGCTCTGAAAATTGGGAGGAATCTGCTTTGCCAGGAGATTCCCCAGCTAAGGAGAGAGAACAAGCCTTGATGCCTTGCCTTGGCATCAGGATGGCCATGCTTCCAAGCCTTATTCCTTTCCCCACTGACTGCAAGAAGCCATCTCCAGCATCTTTAAATGCCAGGTCCCCACCCCCTAACCTTCCAGGGCTGCCTCCAGTGCCATAGCCTCTTCCTTGGGTGCTGTAACCTCCTCCTTGGGTGTCATAACCTCTTCCTTGGGTGCCATAATCTCTTCCTCAGGTGCCGTAGCCTCTGGCAGTTGGTTATCTGAGCTGTCTGGAACCTTCTCTGAAACGAACCGCCCAACAGCTATTAGGTGCAAACAAAGAGTTTGCCATAAACTGCCCAGTTTTGGAGGATTATTCCAATGAAGAAGAGAGAAAATAGGAAAGAGCACTCAGACTTTCAGAACCGGGAAGAAATTTCTTTGCAGAAGGCAATACAAGGGTCTGGAGTTTTGAGTACAAGATTTCCATGCGAAACTAGAACAGGTATAAATGAGGAAACATTCCTTCCTTCAGAATCAGAAGGGGCAAAAAAAACCCCAACCAAACACATATGACATGAGGCCTGCCTGCCTGAGGCACTTTGCATGGAGTAGTAATAACGTTAAAAACAAAGCCAGTCACCATTTCCCACAGCCTGGACCAATATTTGGGACTTGGGACAGAAAATCTTGGCTCAGTGTGAGGCTGGACTCAGTGAGGCTCCAAACGAAGCCTTTAGTTGAGGGTCAGCACCGAGCAGCTGCCGTGCCCTTTGAACTGGTGAGGCAGCGCTTTCCAAACTGTGTTGGGAAGTTGCAGCAACAGCTTTCCTGAAAGCTGAAGCTGGATGACTCCCAGCGTACGACTGTCCCAGGGCTGCTTTGCCCTGCCAAAGGCCTCAAAAAACCATGCTTGCTTCCTCCAGCCACCCTGGCCACTGCCCACACACCAGTCTAGCAGCACCACTGGGCTGGGGCAGGAAAAAAAAAAATGCAAAGATGGGTCCCTCTGCAAGGCTGCAGGTAAGACAGGGCATCAGCTGTGCTGCTTTCAGAAAGCTCCATTATTTAAAGGAGAACATTTGTCGCTGCTGTCTCTTGCTGGCGTAGTTTATGGTCAGTCTACTGAAGCTCACTAACCACATCTTCTTCCTCTACTCTTCTTCCTCCCCTCTTAGAAATAGTTAGAAATTTCACCTCTCCTTCCACTGTTTATCATCCCCCATGCTGCTCCAAGTCACCTCCTTGCTGCTGCTGGGGCAGCTCCTGCTTTTGCCCATTGTTACCTGGCAAGCTCTCTTCTGGGTCTGGTCCAGGAGACCTTGCACACCCAGCAGAAATGTGGTTTTCCCCTTCTTCTCCCTCAGCAGCCTCAGGGATGTTCCTCTCCTTGGCAAGCTGTGCTTTCAGGAGCTTCTTAGCCTCACGGAAGGCCATTTCTGCCTGAATATTATCATCCTGCAGCCCATAAAACAAACCTATGGGAGGCAGAAAGAGCAGCATAAATCAGACATCCCACCTCTCAGCAAAATCCTTCCCTTTGCCCTCAGATTTGAGCAGGGAGAAGAGGATCAGGAGCAGAAGTGATGCTCGGCTCTACAGGAACGCCTCGAGCACACAGGCTAGCTCCCTTTCCTACCTGACAGTGTCCAGGCTATGATGCTGGATGGCTCCAAGCAGCAGGCATCCTCAAAGAAAATCTCTGCCTCTTCGTAGTGCTGCAGCCCAGCAGCCACAATCCCACAGAGCAGCAAGCTGGGGACAGGGTCAGGCAGGTTAGCCTTGCAGGTCTTCTCGGGCAGTGGTTTAGAGGACACCCCTCCACCCTCCCACCGAGCCTGTAGGAGCACCTTGGGACATGATGGGGGTCCAGAGAAAGAGCCTGCTGGAAGCACTCCTGGGCTTTGGTTGTTTCCTCGAGCAGGAGGCAGAACGCCCCGTAGTCCAGCCAGTACTGGATGTTGCACTGGTCCTGAGCTACCCTCTAAGACAAAAAGAGATCACCGCCGGACTGAGGACTGCTGAAACCATGCTCAGTACGTACAACAGATTGGGGAGACAACTCCAGAATGACCACGGCTTTCCTCTGGCCACCCCAGTCCAGTTTAGCAACAATCAAGCCCTTGGTCTATCACATGCTAGGGTTTCCCTAAACTGGGGTTGTGCTGGGCTCCCTCTAAGCCTCCTTTCACCTTTCAACACATCCTCCAGCTTCAGCTGACCTCCTCCAAGCCTTCAGTTAGAGGGCCCAGTAACCCAGTGCTGACCCAGCACACCTTTTGGACCAACTCATCCCCCTTCCACTAGCCTGGAGACTGAAATCCTCAGCGACCAGGCCAGGCTCTGTCTCATGTCCTCCAGAGAGCAGCATCTCCCTAGGAAATCCCTCACACGTTCAGCCTGAATATCCTGCTCCTCTTCACCTCCTTCTTTCCTACACAACAGTCAGGAACGGCTGAGAGGGGCCTCATGTCACTGCAACTGGGTGCTGGCTGCCAGCGCAGAGGCAGGGAAGATGGGCAGGGAAGAACAAGGGCTCCTTTACCTGCTGGTGGTAGAGAGATGCCAGCTTATAGTCCTTGTTGACTTCAGCCTCATGAGCAAAGAGCCAGAGCTGCTCCTCGGTGGTGTGGTACTGAGCAGCAGGAGGAGCAGCTTCCTCAGACAGGAGCTGGTAGGGAGTGAGACATGAGTGTTAGCCCTGGGAGGTAAGAATGGCTCATGTCATCCCAGTACAGCAGCAGCGCCCAGTTCAGCACTGCTCCCAGTACAGCCTAGTACAGCTGGGGCTGGGCAGGTTGGAAAGGCAAGCTGTCCCAGCTCCTGTTTGTGGTGGGACACATTCCTGTCATTCCAGGTACCTCTGCCACACAGGGACAGGGAAATACCTGTTATTTGCATTTGTGATGAGTAAAAGAATCCCTTAGATCAAGACAGTGTCAAATTTCTGTGGTGTCCCTTCCTGGTGATGCCAGATCATGTGGGAAGCACCACCGGGTGAGTGGTGGGTGGCATTGACCATCATCACGAGCAAGCTACAGCAGCTTTTACTAGTGGCATCTCGCACACATCCCACCATCAGGATTTCATAACAGTGGGATACAGATGAACCAGACCCTGCCTCACAAGTGTGGCTCGGGGCCCACACGTGATAACTTGCACAAATGAAAGCATGAGCCTGCTTCTGTCTCAAAGGCACAAGCCCCCCTGCCTTCACTAGACACAGCGTCTGCATCCACAGTGAAGTTGTGTCCCAAATTACCCAGGTTTCTCCCACCTGGTTCAGGGCAACATGCATCTGGTCCACGAGGTACACGTAGAGCTCACTGAGAAAGGTCTGCAGCTCCTCCTGAGTCTCAAATGCCGTGGTCTTCAGGTATTTCTCCCTCACAATCTTCACGACAGCATACTGTGGAGACGTTGCAACTGCTGGGACAAGGCAGGTACCCCCTTGGGCCCCCACCAGCTCCATAATCATACAGAATCAGAATATTCTGTTAGAAGGAAGACCTGTCCCCTCCCATGCCTGCTGCAACAGCCCCGGGTGGCAGGATGGGATTCTGGAGCAACACATCACCCTAAATTGGCACCATAGAGCAGCAGTTCCTCACTGAGAAACAAAACAAGCAGGGAAGAGAAAAGCACAAATGGACTCTTCACCTTTAGCTGTTCCTTAAAAGCAAAGTATTTCCCAGAGCTATTGAGCTCGAAGTTGAGCTGACGCCGCTGTTCTTCCAGGGTTTGGTGGTCTATCATTCCCTGGTCAGGCAGCCGCTTCCCAAATTGCTCATGGTATTCGCTCAGGATGGCAACGGCAATGCTCGTGATTTGGTTGTGATAGTCGTCTACGGCCTAAGAAATAAATAAACAATCCAGGTTCACTTACGCCATCAACTTTGAGATGTATTTTTTTTGCCAGAGCCCAGACACCCCATAAACTCCACCCAGCTCAAGTCTCAATTAGTCTGTCACACGTCCTTTCCCATCCACGCCCGAGAGCTGCAAAAATATCTACATGTAAATACAAAAGAACTCCTTTGTAATTAGATATCACTCCTGCTATATTTTTCAATCAGTATTTCCGTCATTGCTGTCTCTTCTACAGCAGTATAAGAGGCTGTCAGTAAAAATATAGCTCCTTTGCTGGGAGCCTTTTAAACCTGTGGGCCAGCCCTCTTCAGCAGAGCCTGTAATTTCCATAATCTCTGTGGCAGAATCTTCCAAATGCTGTGATAATAAAAATATATCACCGAGCACTCCAGACAGTCCAGTATAAATCAATTCTGCAGCAGCACTGGGGTCAGTTATTGAAGTGCGGCTTCTTCCCCCACTGTTTGCTCTGAATGCAATCGGCCCGGGGCCATCTGAGGACACACTCCTTTGACGGCTGCTCCTACCCACACAGGGTGAGCCAGCACTCTCGGACTACTTTCTGAGAATGTTACACACACAAAATGCTCAAAAAAAAAAAAAAAATCTCAAAAATTCTGGGTGACCTGAGAGCGGTTGGGGCTAATTCTATTCATGTTTGTCTGGGTTTGATGAAGCATGTGGGCTAGTCTGAGACAAGAAACTGTTGGGACTGCCCCAGGTAAATATAAGGTTCTGAGAGCCTCTTTCTTCAGCATCCCATTTCCTTCCAAACACCCCCACGCTGCCGCCTCCCCTGCCTTTGCTACGCCTTGCCCCTTCCTATGAGCTGTGAACACGAGTGACACAGCCCAGGAATGATTTCCTCAAGGCATCCTACTGTGAGGATAATGCATCCAGAAGTTTTCTTTCCTGTGCGTTTCCTCTTCAAAGCTCACCTAATGCGTTGCTGCCGGGCTGAGGCAGGGAATGAAGGTTCTGCGTGTGAGGGACAGGGGCAGGATGAGGCAGCAGAGTGGTGAGAAGGCACGTACCTTCTTGGCTCCTGCAGTCCGGGGAGGCAGCAGAGGGCGAGGAGGAATCATCTCCTTGACCCTGTCAACGAGAAGACAGAATACATCAGCCACATGCACTGCCAGCAACTTGTCTTGGGTGCAGGCAGCCTGTGGTACCTGTTGTTTTATCCCTGAGACACCTCACAGGGACCCAGGACAGGGTGGAAACTGAAGTGTCAGATCAAGAATGAACAGAAAAGACCAGGCACCTACATTCAGTGCTTGTAGCTGCTGACAATAGGGTTAACATTTGTTATTTCTAGCAATCAGAAACACTCTCCTGGAGAAGCAGATCTGTAACATGCAGTATTAAGGAAGGAACCAGCCTGAGGAAAGCTCTAAAGAATTTTATCACTATAAACCTTGGGCCACCCAACCCATCAGTTCCTGACATGGCACAGTGCGGCTGTGGTGCCTCCTCCCTTGGCCATGCATTGACCCCAGGACACCATGCCAGCCCTGTTTCTACCACTCCTAGGGTTACAATGACTTTTTAAATATGGACCAAAAGCCCTTAGGATTACCACATTTATTTACTAGATCTTATTAAAATCCTTGGTGTCAAAGCAGCATTACATTCATTGGGTTTTTAATCAAAATTACCCGCTTGCTGGTACCAAAACACCTTCGCTTCTTAGGACACAATCCACCAGGCAAAGGTGTCCCATCCCTGTGACGGTTCCCACCCGATTGGTAAAGGAAACTGCTTATTCTCCAACAAATATAAACCACTTTTTTAACTGTTCTGCCAGCTTACAGAGCCCCTGACCTTCTTCAGATCCCGAACCCCAGCTGCTTCTCAAACCCTCTCACATTCTCCACTTGTGCACCATGGTCCTGAGTGGTCCCGTCGCCCTACAGAGACCCATCACCTCTCCTCGGTGGCAGATGAAAACCCAACTGCTTTGCTTTTGGATGAGAAAACAAAAACAACAACCACCTGGGGAAAGCAAGCAGGCAAAGAGGGCCAGGCAGAGTCCGACAGAGGATTTTGGATGGATCCCAAGACAGTCAACCATGGTTTGCTGCTAGGATACATATTTAAACGTCTGCTAGGACACGTGTATGTGGCATCAGCTGGAGCCCCCCAAGACAGGGCCCTTTTTTCAGGAAACTCAGGAAGGCTGAGTTTCCTGGCCTGACATCGATCTGCAACTGTACTTGGCAGGTGAACGTGGAGAAACTACACCAAATTCACACAAGTTGCAGAAATGGTATAAAAAGGGCCACAAAAATGTCTGTTCTAAGAGGGTTTCACCTTCCTCAACCTGTTCTTCCTAGAGGACAGCAAACAGCACGGAATGGGACATACACACTTTTCCTTCAAAGGCTGGCTGCTGTTTATATTTGTGTTTGAGAGAGACAGACCACCTGCATTTGTTATAGTCAAATCAGTTGCGGCATTTTCTCTTTTTTGTTCAATAAATTATACACTCTAGGCCTTTCCTTGGCTGTAACACGGCAGGGCTACTACTGGATGGAAAGCAAGTGCCTCAAAGCAGCAGAGACGAGAGAGCAGTTCTGCAACTGAACAACATGAAAACTAATGTAAAGAGCTGAGGCATGGATGGAAGGCAGTGAGAAAACTTCCAAAAAGGAAAAGAAAAAAAATAAATTACAGAAGTGAAGTTACAGCAGCAGTGCTACCCAGAGCAGCCCATGCTGGAGGCCAGCCCTGACCAAGCAGCTGAACATCACATGCGAGAGGCAAAGCCCCTGGGGATTAATGGGAAATAAAGCCTGGCCGGGAATGCAGACACTGTTGTGACACTCTGTTGTCTGAGAGGAATGGTGCGGAGATGCCGGCTCGGCTGAAGGCAAGTGTTTTCCCAACACACCTGATGCCACCTCTGATTCTGGTGGGCTTTGACCCGTTTCTGTCCTGTGGAAAAGAGCCCCAGAGGTCCAGCATGTCTTTACGCACCGTCTGGTGAGCTCCTCTTGCGATCGCTTTGGTACCAAGGCCTTGTCCAGCTTTATCTCCATCACCAGGAATGTTCTTGCTTCAACGTATTGCTGTGAAGATAAACATTGCGCTCTTAGTGCTGCACTATCTAGAGCCGTTACCGGCATGATGAAAGGCTGAGCATATAGCTGCAGATCTGCAGCAAATCCTCTTCAAACCACAGAGATACAAGCTTGTTTTATAGTCTGCCCTCAGAAGGATTTACAGCAGCAAAATTCCGCCCAAGAAACCAGTCTAGGAAAAAGGAGGAAACCCAGATAATCGATCTGCTTGCAGAATGAATAGATGTTTTGAGGAGGAAGCCAAAATAAGATGGAGAGCTTTTAAATGAACGCCTGATTATTTGCAGAGCTGTTCTAGCCCCATGCTGGACTGGACCTCACTGGAAGAGCTCCAGGAAAGCATCTATGTAAAACACCCCTTGTCCAACTCCCTCTTGAAGAATTTAATTGCATGAAAGGTGTGACACACCAACACGGTGATGGTCTAGCAGACTTTCTTTGTCTTTGGAGATACATAATCACCTGTCCGTCAAGGCTGAGATATGGGACATTTTCAGCTTCTAAAGTGGCACCGTTGGGCACATTGGACATCTATGAAAGAAAAAGGAAAGGTGTCTCTTGTTTCAGCTCCAATAAACCTCAGACCTTGACAGGTTCAGGATATGAGCTGTACATTTTTGTTAAGTCAGCAAGTACTAGAATTTCAAAAGAAGGAGTACCTCTTGGTTGGCTGAGGCAACCAACCTGGTTTCTGTGTGCCCCAACTGCCTCTGATGTGGAAACGCAGAAACCAACGCAATACACCTCTCTACACCTTACCCTGTGGTTGGAATCCTTGGTGATTTTCTCTTTGTCTTCCTTCTGAGCCTTGCTGGAAACAGCTCTGGAATTATCAATTCCTGGCATCCAGAAGCCTTCTTTAGTCAGACCAAGCTGCGTTCTGAGATCCCGGAAAACACTCTGCTGATTTTTCGTCTAAAAAAAAAAAAAACCAACAAAAAAAACCCCAGAGGGAATCAAGGGACAAACTAGGCTTCCCCACCTCTTTGCTTTAACCCCTCCCAAGGCAAAACACTTTGACGGGGTCCTAAATGCATTAAGAAGCTACGCAATCTTGTTCTTTCCTCCCAAGAGTTTAGGTGCAGGTGCTCAAGGCCAGCTTCGATCCCATGTAGCTGTGACCGTGATAATAAGGAAATCTTCAGTAGGGTCTCCCTGTCTTCTCTCAAGGGTTGCATTTACACCGAGGCACTGGTCCTTGATTCTCACCTGACCTATGTGGGAGGTAGGCTGGAACCCAGCTTCATGCTGCCCTGATCCTGACACACTGGCCTGAATTCCTGGCTTGATCCTGGATCTGCCTCATGGCTATGGACTTGGATGTGGACTGTCAGATGAATATGGTTTCCCTCACTAGGTCTGCTCTCCAATTTTTGGGTTGTCTCTGTCTGCCCTGCAGTGACTCGTGGCTCCTGGCTCACCTTCTGGGGTGGAGCAGCTTCCTTGACAGACATCAGAGAATTGCAAGGAAGAGGTTTTTCAGATTGGCTGTTCACACACCATTTGATCACCTAGACAGACGGTTCTCTCCCCACCATCGCTGTTATGGGGACTAACAAGAACTGAGGGGATGCTGGGGAGAGGAGCTGTACCGAGATCCCCTAGACCCAGGAGCAGCCCAGAGCATCCACAAAACCACAGAATGAGAGAGAGAGGGCATGAATCACTTCACTTGCAACAGAAAAATGCTACAGGACAAGGGGGATCACGCAGCTGTTAATCACAGTGGTGAAGCAGAGACCAGCAAGCAGTTTTGTGCCCAGCCCTGCTTTGCAACAGCCAGTGTGGAGGAAGGGAGAAGAACTATAAATTCACTCAGCTCCTGCAGCCTGGGCAGCAGCACTACAGGGGAATGTAGGCAGAAAAACCAGGCTGTACATCTGCCCTCCTGAAACAAGCTCAGGTCTGTTCTGGGAGCCCTGTGGGAAAATGGAGATGTAACTGTCACTCCTAGTAACGGAGAGGGGAAAAATGCAAAGACAAATAAACCTCCACGAGCTACAGCTGAAAGAGCTCCAGTGACAGCTTTTTTGGCTGTTGCCTGGGGTAACGCTATCCTTTCAGAGCCACTGTTTGCTCTTCTCAGAGATGCAGTTTGTTTGCCCATGTTCCAGACTGGGGAGAGAAGAACGTTCTTACAGCTCTCCCCACTCAGCTGCTGGCAGAGGAGGGAGCACACTCAGATTCAGAGCCTCTCCGAGGTGCTCACACAAACCTAGAAATCCCTCACCTTTGAGAAATGTGCACCTAAAAGCTCCTCTCATTGTTTTTCTCCATCACCAGAAGGGCAGGGAAATTCCAGAGCCAGCCTCCGAGCAACACGTTGCCCCTGCCGCCTGCTCCAAACCCCGCTCTGCGCCAACGCAGAAGTGGAGCCCGGCTGCCTGGTGCGCTCTCACCTTCTCGAACACCTCGCTGTCTTGGTAGGCAAAGACACGAAAAGCGCCTCGGATCTGCTTCACGCCAGGGCAGAGCAAAGGCAACATGTTGACATACGCCACGCCGTGGAAGAAAATTTGCTTGTCCTCATCTCCCTGGAAACACAGCGCAAGAGACTGAGATACTGAACAGGTTGTTATTCTCTTTAAGGAAACAAGGTCACTGGGCCCATTAAGAAGAGGCCACGCAGCAAACCGGTGCACCTGATGAGCCAGTGGCTCACTGTTATTGGCACACAGCCGAGACAACCTGGATGAAAATGCTGGAGTCATTCGATACATAGAATATCAATTTTATCCCTTTTCTCTCTGGTGCCCGCACTGAGTCATTCCTTTGGGTGCTCTTTTTGAGATACAGCCACTAAATTATCAACCCTGCGGTTACAAATCCAAGCGACCCTACCAGAGTTGTGCACCTCGGGTTTGACAGAAATCAGGTAGCTAATGAGGTCTGAGAGTCCAGGCTACCAGCAGACTGGGGAGAGTAAGAAAGAAGGATCTCCATCAGAGCTGCAAAATCCTGGCCCCAGAGAGGGCCGAAAGGAATTTATACCAATTTATATGACTCTGCCCTGGAACACATGAGGAGATCTCACATGACCAGCCATCAGGAACAGAACCATTAACTAAGGGGTTGTTTCTTTGTTAAGTCACTCCAGTTTACATGCAAAAACACAACTTCTTTACACCCCAAGAAAGAAGGCATGAATTTCTTCAAGATGTTCCAAAACCCCATTGGCCAAAGCTCAGCTCAGTGAATTACCTTAATTCTCAGAAAGCACCTTCTCCCTGACCCCCTTTCCACCGAGCTACCACAGCGAGAGCTCTGTGTGCCACAAGGTAAAAAGTATTATCCTTTGTCTATTTAACAACTGATTAATCCCTTTACAAAGCCTCTGGCACTCTGACTTGCTTTGGCTGGTGCGAGGCTGGTTTTGGCATTACAAAGGCACGGAAAGGAAAATGCTTGATAATGCAACACTGCTCCCCAAGCCAGAACAACACGTCCCTCCCCATTTTTACCTTGTCAGCTTTGCTAGCTTTCGCTTTGCTGGGCGAGGCCACAGACACCCTGCAGACCTCCACGGGCCAGTACCGGCACTCCAGAATGCGTTTCTGCAAGCTGAACACAAAGGAGGGCACTGAGAAGATGCAGAAACCAAGCTGCAGAGCCATCCCATCCCATTTCCGCTCTACCAGCCCCAAAGCATCCCCCCTCAGGTTTGCCGAGACACAGCGAGCACCCTCAGGCCACTGAAACACGTGTGCTTTGGGGCAGGCTCAGTACGTTTTCTTCTCCATCCACCACTGCGTGCATTTACGGCATGACCAGCTAGAAAACAATTGCGAGAGTGACACACTAGGTTTTCTCTCTCCCCTGGCTACTTCAGAAATGAAACGAGTAAGAAGGAATGTGATTAACTTTGGTATAAATCCTGAACTGCACGGAGCAAGCAGACCCTGAGCTCCCATTGAATGGGCCTGTTAACTCTGAAATCAGCAGGCAGGCTGATGAAAGTGTAGAGGCGGAAGAAAATGCAAAAATCAAAGCCAGATAGAAGGGAGTATTTCTACACAAGGAGTAATTTGGCTGTGAAACTCACAGCCACGATGCAGCTGAGGCCAAGAACATAGCAGGATTCAAAGAGAAATGAGATACTCATCCTGATCTTGAGAGTTTCTACAGCCATTAAAGGCAACATTTATCCAATAAAAAATACAACCCATGAGTGAAGTGTGCCCACATGAAGTAAAAGGATTTTAACATATTCAGAATTCAGCAAAACTTAATTAGCAGCTCAGGAGAGAGATGTGTGGGCCACCCTGCTGCCTGTCTGCCCAACCATAACTCTGTTGCTCCTTCCTTCAAGCCACAGAGGGAACAGTTACCAGCTGTAGTTGCTGGCAGCATAAGCGAGCATTGACAGGCTGGAGACAGCAGCTACAGTCAATTCAGCTTCTCCCACCATAGCAGAACTAAGCTACTGCTGGCAATTAAAGGCAATTAACTGCTCCTTTGCTCACGTGAACACCTTTGGCCAACAGACAGACATGGGAGGCAAGGCAGAGCCATGGTTTGACAATGTCAAAGGTCTGAGAGAACCTGCATGTTGCTGCTTCCTTAAGGTCACGCAGCTGAGTGTGTGCCCAGGGGGTTTCTCCCCACCACTCTGCGCTGGAAGGGAGGTTCTCAGGTCACTTACGTAGCTGCTGCAGCGGCATCCAGGTAACAACGCCTCTCCATGTCCCACACGATTCTCTTTGCATTTTCTGCTTGAATCCTAAATTCCCTGTCCTGTGAGAAAAGAGCACACGGTCAGAGTCAAGACAGCCATCTCCATAGCCTGCATCACCCCCAAAAATCTTGCCTTGGGGGAGAACGTGTGTCAGATAAAGAGCTGTCCAACTCGCCATGCCCAGGCCATCCTTACAGGGTAAGTTAGCAGCCCTCCAAGCAGATACTGGAGCCCATTTCTATTGAAAGCTTGGCTCACAGGGAGATTACGCAATTCCCTGCAGCTCAGGAGTGGGGACCATGACACTGCCAGTCTTTCCTCACCTCTGTGTTGTTGAGCTCTCCGTTCTCATCCTCATAGGGACCACCAATGATGAAGGAGTTGGGTATGCTCAGAGCATCAGGGGCCATGATGTTAGCAAGGGGCCATTTTTTGGGCCGGGGTAATGGCTCTTTTTCACCAGCAAGCTTCAGGATGCCATTCGTGAAGAGCAAAGGGAGTTCCTTCTACAGAGACATGAGAATGAAAGGATTTGCATTTCCAACATGAGCAGAAGCAAGTGTCAGCTGCTCCGAGCTGGGTCTAACAAAGCAGAGCAGCAGTGCAGCAACCTGGCTCGAAAAAACGTACTCCGCCGTATGCACTTAAAAAAAAAAAAAAAAAAAGAAGAAAAGAAAACTGAGAAAATAGGAACACCCATGTGGAAAAAAAACCTGCTGGTTTCAGTCCAGACCCTGATTTGCCTCAGAGAAACATGTCTCTCTGTGCCACAGAGACCCTGAACGCTCGCAACAAAGGCTGCTGTTTTCACACAAGCATGGGAGCTGTTAACACCCTGATACATTTACAAAACTCTAAGACTCTGTTTTGAAGTTTTAGACCCCCACAGGCCTGAACAGTTGTTCCACAGTGAGTAGCATGGGAGAATGGTTCGTTCCGTAGCAACGAAAAGCCCTCTCACTGTGCCTGGACCAACCCTCACCTCCCCAGATGCTGGTACTTGCAAGCAAGCCATGTAGTTTTGCTGGGGTCCAGTGACAGCAAATTCTTCGGGGACAGAATAAGCTGCCTCCAGTGTGATGCTCAGGAAGTTACCATTCGAGAGTTGTGTTGCAGAAAGCAGAGGCTCTTTGGCACACACTGTCACTTCAAGGCCACCCTGCAAGACAAGGATGAAGTAGAGCCAGGAACTAGACCATTATAACTCTCCTGCTCTTGAGGGAGAAGCAAGCAGAAACCCAAGGCCAGAAGGGATAATGTTATCTTTGTCCTCATCCGAGATGTAAAAAGAAAACAGACCAGCACAGTAAAGAAATTTCATGATCAATTTGCCTGAATTGTGCTATTGCTTTCTTTAAATCAGAGCCTGCTTGAAGCATGGCACATGCCCCAGTGGTCTCGTAGAATGAGCCAGGTTCTCCTAAAATAAGCCACAGAGAAAGAACATTGGGCATGGAAAATGGTGATTTTTCCCTGGTGATTCAGAGCATGCCAAGCTAGGGCCACACTTTAACTCCATGCACTCTGTGTCTTTAATTCCCTGTCCCAATCTTGGATGGATGGTGTTTGATGAAAAAGCAGCTGGTCAGTATTTATTATCTCTCCTCCCTAATGAGTGCCCTCCTGCCTTGTTTACTATGTAACGCCTCTTGAATCCAGCAAAGTTAATGCAATATCCACCCTTCCAATTCACTCGCAGTGCTAACTGCAGGCAGGCACAGGAGCAAAATTTAGACACATTATCCCGGTTTCATATTTCATTCCTTGCTTTATTCACTGAGTACTTTTCAATTGGTGGAATGAATAAGGACCTTGCGGGAAAGGCAGTCAGAGCTCGTGCAATAATGAACTCTGAGACATTTTATCCACAGAAAGGGAGACTAACAAACTCAGGCAGGTAATCCTTCCTTCGTTTTTTTCTATTTTTTTCAGCACTAGGCATTCCACCTTGAATACTTTTTACAGAACAGTTTGGTAGCTGCACACATTAACATTTCCTAGCATGACCTCACCTATCATGGGCAACTAGGGACATAAGTCAATGGGAGTAGGAAAGGCCTCCAAGCTTGTAACATACAGGGCCATAATATATCCGTGATGAACTAGGCGGCTGAGTCACGCTCACCATCCAATTAAAAAACAGCAGAGAGCCGAATGAGCGAAGGAACAGTTCCAAACTCCACATACCTTGCCCCCTGGGTGAAGGCTCTCTGATGGCACAGCATACAAAGGAACCGAGACCTTAAATGAACACTGTCCTGGGAAGAAAGAGGAACAAGAACAGCATATCTGTAGAGAAATCATGCCCTAACTCCTAATTCTGAGCTATTGATGTCACCTCATCTTCTTCCCAACCCAGCTTTTTGCAGATGCATTTTGTCAAAAGGAGGTAAACTATAGTCAGAGGTCCAGAAGCAAAGACCAAAAAGTATCAGGGATTAAGAATTGGTTATGGGGGCTGTAGAATTCAATGCTGTACCTTGCAGCAGAGGTAGAAGGTCCACCACAGCTTGGCCAAGAGGCACGGTCTTCTCCTTCTGTTTCTTCTTTTGCAACACTTCTGTCACTGTCACTAGAGAGATAAAAAGAGCCAAGCTGGCAGATTTTCTCAGAGAGCTTCAGACCAGCAGTTCAGGGGTTGTGTCAGCTCTGGCACGTGCTTCTACTTCATCACTCAAAGCCAACAAGAACAGCGAAGCCAAGGAGCACAGGTTGACGTGCGAGGGACTTCTTCCAGCTGGCAGAGATGGGACCAGACTGAGCACCCTCCCCCAACTGCTCCCGCTCAGGGGCTATTCTCAAACAAGTGGCTCCAAAGAGGGAGAGCCAGCACCGAATACTTACAGAGCACAGGTTTCTGTGCAAGGTCATCCAAGGAGTTGGGCCCGTCGGGGCTGCACTGGAAGCTGGTCGTGAATTTATAGCTTGCCGTCCCGTTTGGCAAGACGTCCGTCTTGGAGGATTCTCCCAAGATCGCTCCGTTGTATTCCGCATGTACCAAAGTGACTAACACGCCACTTTTGATAGCATTCTGTCCAACAAAAGGGCACGTTAAGTGGTTGGCTCTGTGGCAACAGGCCCAGGATCAAAGCTGCCTCTAGCAGCTTCATTCGGCACCTCGTATGGGGTTCGCTGGTGGGGGTCTTTGGCTGGTTCCCACCACAGGAGTAGGAAAAGAGGAGCACAGCCTGGTTGTGCTGAGACCTCACCCTTCCCTGTCCCTAAGAGGTAAATTTCAAGCTCCAGCAGGAAGAGTCTGTCTGGAGGAAGAACATAGTTTTACTTCTCCATCCTAGGAGAATCTCCCTGAACATGAGGATCGTTGTGCCCAAACCCAGCTTGTCTTCAGTCCCGAGCCGTGGGGATGTGCAACCTCCATGGGCCTCTCCCTCTGCTCCCTCTCTCCGTGTCACTGGGGTAATTAGTTCCATGTTGGCTCCTGTACAAAACCAGATTTCATTCACTTGGCTTTAATTTTCAGTCCTTCTGAGTGACTCCTTGAGTATGTATTTTATGAACAGCTAAACAGAAGGATCCAATTAACGATTAATTACCCTAGACTCCACTCTCACTCTCCTCTACATTACCTCTAATTAAGCAGATTCCATACCTCTTACAGCTGGGTATTATTTTTCACGCTGTTGTCCTTATTACTGCACTTCTGTAACCCTCTCTCCTTTTGCCACAGCCATTTCTCAAGACAAAGCAATCAGAACCACAAAGCAACGTCCTGCATGCAATCAACCCACCGCTCTGTTCTTTTCAGCATCGTTTTCCCTCCTCTTACCTTCTACTTCTCACCTAACGTGCTGTTTGCCGAATCCATCAGCATGAGAGGTGCTCAAATACCACAATATCAAAACCTTCCCCACCAAAAAAATACATGCAACGGGAAGATGCTTTCGGTTTGTTGTTGTTTTGTTGTTTGGTGGGTCGGGTTTTTTTTGGTCTGCTGCTAGAGCAGAAACAAGGATTTGCATTTTTGCTGCCTGCAGCAGTAGCTGAGCTTCTCCTCCGCATTCCCTCCTAAATGCCAGCTCCTTTAGAAGACTTTAAGGACAGCTGGGCGCCTCGCACAGCACGTGGAAATCACAGTAGTAAGGGCTGGATCGGAACCAGCTCATAGACTTGCCCTGTAACAGCACTGGAGCCTTGTTAAAACTAGAGCCACTTAATGGTTTCAATTTGATTTAAACTGCTGTAGACGGGATGAAAACATGGCTTTATATCCAAGGGGATAGATCCAAACATCTTTTTAGAGATACTCGTCTCACTGCGAATACGTTCTCACCGCGTTTTCCTTGAAAAAGCTGCCGTTTACATACAGTTAGGCAGAGAAGGCAGCGAGATACATTGCAACACGGCATCTCTGGGCTGCTTTTCCCCAATTTTCCCTTTTCCAGCCTTTATTTTGTGCAAACAAGCCCTCAGCAGACAGGTGGAAGCCGCAGCGTGGCACCCCCGAACCTTCGACTTCCTCACCGCTCCCTCCTACCTCCTTAGCACCTCACGCCCAGTCTCGAGTGGGACGTACAGAATCGCTCTGGCCTTGTTTATTAAAACAGTAGGCTTTGTGGTTTGGGTGTTTTGGGGTTTTTTTTACCCTCCCAGAAGAGCTTTACCAGGTCCTGCGCTTCCAACACCGTGATCTGCACCAGGATCGGCTGCGACTCGTTGGGATGATCCAAGGAGGCAGCGGGCGAGGCAGGGACCTCCATGGCTCTGTGGGAAAAGACAAAAGGAAGGATGAAACAAACACAAACCTACTCTTTTCCTCTCCCAGAACACCCTCCTGACCCCCATTAAACCTCACAAAGCCCTCTGTCAACTCCAGCTACCCTAGCCAGACTTGGCAGGCC